TGCAATGCCTGCCCGTGTGTGGCCGAGAAATTCACACAGCCTGGCAGAGGAATTCTCACGGCCGTGTGGGGCGCCATTTTGCCCGTGCAAGAATTCCATGGGCTACACACGGCCAAAGGCGATTTCCACGCGGACGTGAAGAATTTAGGCCTAGCCGTGTGGAATCCCAGAACCCCGAATTCGACCAGTTTTCGCGGAAAAAAAAAGAGGCATCCTAACCTTCGACAGTACCTCGCGACTCAAAAACCCAAAAATTAAAAAGAAAAAGGAAAGCAAATGCAAACCGTGGTGGGGTTGCCTCCCCACAAGCGCTTCTTTACCGTCTTTTAGCTGGACGCCAGTAGAGGAACTAAGGGTCCTCAAGCTTGATCAACAGCTTTGTGCGCTCGACATCACCTCCTAAGTACAACTTTAAGAGGTGGTCGTTCACTATGAACGAATCAGTTTGAGCATTGCTGATCTCCACCGCACCATGCGGGAATACTTGGGTGATCGTGAAGGGTCACGACCACCTCGAATGCACCTTGAACGAAAAGAGTTTCAGGCGTGCATTAAAGAGAAAAACACGGTCACCTACCTGAAACTCCTTCGGGCCTTTCAATCGAGCGTCGTGGAGATGCTTGGTTCGCTCCTTGTAGAGCAGGGTGTTCTCGTAGGCGTGGTAATGCTATTCCTCCAACTCCAGCAGTTGCAGCTTACGTTCAGTACCTGCAACACTCAAATCCACATTTAGCAGCTTAAGGGCCCAGAAGGCCTTGTGCTCTAGCTCTACTGGAAAATGACACGCCTTCCCATAGACAAGCCTATATGGTGAAGTACCAATCTGGTTTTTGTAGGCTGTCCTATATGCTTAGAGAGCATCATCGAGCTTGGTGGACCAATCCTTGCGGGACTGATCCAGCGTCTTTTCAATTATTCTTTTAAGCTCCCGGTTCGTCAGCTCGGCTTGACCATTCGTTTGGGGATGGTAAGCCACTGACACCTGATGCTTAAGGATGTTGGTCGGATCAAGAGGCCATGGAGGTTTGAAGCTATGTGGCTTGAGGATGATGGTTTCTATAGGGAGCTTCCGTTATGGCTTGAGGGTCCCATACATGGTTGTGGTTCTGTCTACCGCTGGTCTAAAAGGCTTCAGGACCTGAAAGCTAAGTTGAAAGTCTGGAATAAGGAATTGTTTGGGAACATTAATGTCAAGATCGACGACCTTCTCCACAAGATTCCGGAGATTGATGCAAGGGACGAGGTGGGCTCCATCTCTTCGGATGATCTAGAGCAGAGAATCTTGTTTCATTCTGATCTGGAAAAACTCCTTACCCTTCAAGAAATCTGCTGGAGGCAGAAATCTCGAGAGCTTTGGCTCCAGGTCGGTGAACGCAATTCAGGTTACTTCCATCGGGCAGCTAGTTATCGAAGAAAGCTTAATTTCATCAACCTCATTAAGATTAATGGATGCCCTGTCAAAGGTCGAGATGAGCTCGCTCGAGCGGTGGTTGAGCATTACCAAGGTCTTTATATTGAGCAGCTCCCATCTCGCCCCTTTCCTCTTAATTATATATCCTCTATTTTATCTTCGACTGATGCGGATTGTCTAGCTCTTCCTTTCTCTGAGTTGGAAATTGTAGATGCTCTCAAAGAATGTGACGGTGGGAAGGCTACAGGTCCCGATGGTTTCCCGTTCGAATTCTATAAAAGGTGCTGGAGCTGGATTAAGGCTGACGTATTGAATGCTTTTTCAGAGTTTCACTCCTCGGGATACCTCCCAAAATGTGCTACTCATTCCTTTATTTGCTTGACTCCTAAAAAAGACGTCGTGGAGGAGATTGGTGATCTTCGTCCTATCAGCCTTCTCGGTAGCATTAATAAGCTGTTCAGCAAAGTTCTGTCTCGGAGATTAAGTGTAGTCTTGCCTAAACTGGTCTCTCATCACCAACACGCCTCCGTCAGGGGTAGACAGATTTCAGAGGCCGGTTTAATCGCCAAAGAGCTTGTGGACAGCCGTATCATGAGCAGAAAACCAGGTCTATTATTTAAACTTGATATTGAAAAGGCTTTCGATAATGTTAATTGCGGGTGTTTGTTTAACGTGCTTAAAAAGCTGGGATTTCCACCAAAGTGGTTGTGCTGGATTCGAGGTGCTATGTGCTCGCCTATGTATTCCGTTCTCATCAATGGCGAAGCTAAAGGTTTTTTTCCCGCTCATAAAGGTCTTAGGCAAGGAGACCCACTCTCGTCAGGTCTGTTTGTTCTAATTATGGATATTCTTTCTTTTAATTAATAAACTCCAGGCTGCAGGCCTGATTAGGGGTTTCTGTATCGATGAAGAGCGCGGCCACGGGGAAGTGATAGACCATTGATTGCACATGTTTTTACCCCTATTCTTGAGCCGTTTGAGATGTCGATTCCCGCATTTTAGGCTGATTTCACGCTAGGTTGTTCTTGTTTGTGATATTTCAGGTCCTAGCACATGAATGAAGGCTTGGGAACGAGTTTGGGGGTCGATTGGACGAAGATTGGACGTTTGGCGAGAATCTGAGGAAGCCACACGGGCACTTTTGCACCTCACACGGCCGTGTGGCACCATTTTACACGGACAAGCCACATTGGCCGTGTAGGGGACCCGTTGTGTCCATGTGAAGGCTCGGCAAATCCCACACGGGCAGCCTGGGAGTTCACACGGCCGTGTGGCCCTGGCCGTGCAGCATGCCTAGAAGCCCACTAATCGAAACGCCGCGTTTGAACACTCACACGGGCAGCTGGGAAAGTCACACGGCCGTGTGGCCTGGTCGTGTGATCGCGAATTTCTGCTTTTAACCCAATTTCCAGCTAAAGGAGAAGGGTTCCGAGTTTTAGAGAGAAAAAGTGCGACCTAGAGAGAGAAAGTGAGGAACCTGATTCTGCAAGTGTCCTAGATCGATCTCCATCGCCATTGAAGCCCGGCTTGAGCTTGGAGAAGATCTGATTGAGTGCCAGAAGAGAGTCGGTCCTGGCTAGAAGAGAGGTGGGATGGGGGATGGCTCCACCGGGATTTGAAGCGGTGGTGCGTTAGGAGGGAGACGACATCGGAGAGACGGAGACTATATGGTTTTGCTTCGGCTTCTTCACGTGGATGGAAGGGGGGGGGGGGGGTGGGTATTAGGGTTCAACCGGTTGGGTTGCGTAGGTTAATTGGGTGAGTAATTAATTTTTTATTAATATTTTTTATGACGTGTCATGCTGATTGGGCAAAAAGTAACGGACCATTGGACGGAAGTGGACGGATTGACCAATTTGTTATTCACTCAAACTTGTGTTATTGAAACGTGCAAAATTGAAGAATTGTGACCGTTTTGTACAAAATGAATAGTTTTGTTACCATTTATGATAATTAGCCTAACTCCATGAGATTATCAACCCTATGATGTGATGAGAGAGGTGATCGACTTACCTCCACTCCCATGATATGGTGAGTGGAGTGATCACCATACCGCCCCCATGATATGCACCCCCATGAGGTAGTCAGGGGGTAATCACCCACCCACCCACATGTGGCAGGTGGTCTACCTCACCGTGTTCTTCTTCCTTCCAGCAAAACACCAAGTCACCTGAGTTCTAGATAACGATCACTCACCATAGCCAGTCTCAAATTTTCCTCAGCCTTCTTCCTTCAAAGAGGTGTACCGTATTTATTATCGTTTTAATAAGAAATCAATGTGCAAATTCAATTATGTTCCATCTAGTTTTTCTCGCCGGGAAAACACTAAGAACACTAGCTAATGCTGGAATACGAGTATTTTAAATTAGTAGGAAGTTCTTGTATGATAACAAAAAACCAGTTCACTTCATACATGACGACAACGGTCCAGTTTCCCACACACCAGTTACGTCAGAAGGCGTAGTTCTTGTTTGCACAAAACAAAGCAAAACCATCAGCATATCGGAAATTTCCCTAAAGTCCCAACGCAACACCTCAGTTACTAGAAGAAACTGTTTCGTTCCAGACACGCGTTGGCCCGACGATTGTAGCCACAGCCAGCCAGCGGTAGTAAACATGAGCACGTCAGTTGCTGCCTTTTCTTTAGCTTTGCGGTTGGTGCCGTTCAAAAAGTTAATTATTGCTTATGAGTGATTCGCTTCTGCAATCAACTAGTAATTGTCTGACTTCATTTGCTAGCATGTCTGTGTCATTGAAAACAACCCTTACCGGCATACCTCATTGCGCACAACAACAACAACAATGCATAGTGCTCACTTTATTCTGTAAATGTAACCTTCACTAATTAATTCCTTATTTTTATCTCTAAGTTTGACCAGACAAACCGTGGTAATTAGCATAAACGGTCACAAACCTATTCACTTTGTACGAAATGGTCACAAACCTTTAATTTTGCACGTTTTAGTAACATACGTTTGAGAGAATAACAAAATGATCATTCCATCCATCTCCATCCACAAAAATCGTTAATTTTGTCCAGTCAGCATGCCACGTCACTTAAAATATTAATAACAAATTTGATGACCAAACCCAATTGAACCGGACTGTGCAACCGAAAGCCATAACTCTATACCACCCAACAGAGCGAATCATCGAAGGGACACCTCCCAGGTCGCGCCGCCGATAGCCGAAAACCATTGAAGGGTTGCCGATAGCTTCTCCGGGTCGCGTCGCCGGCCGAAACCAACGAAGGGTCGGGGCCTCTTTCCCCTGCTCAAATCGAATCTCCCAGCTGAATTGTCTATTGCTTTCGCTAATGGTTTCCCGGATGAGCGATGTAGATAATTTCGGGGTTTTTGTATTAGATGGGTGTTTTCTCGATCATTGGTAATTGGTCTGGGAAAACATATACGGTGGGCTTGAATGAGATTGTGCTAGAATGGCTTGCTTCATGATAAGCTGGGAATTTTGTTAGCTTCAGAGCTTTAGGTTTCATAAAGGGAGAACAGTTAATTGTTGTTAATTTATGTTGCAGTGAAAGTAGGGATTTCGGAGTTCTTGAATGGAATAGGGAAAGGTGTTGAGAACCATGCGGCCAAGATTGAAAATGAGATCGGAGACTTTCAGAAACTTCTCGTTAGCAACGCAACCAGGGCGGCAACCCTTCGTTGGTTTCAGCCTGAGACGCGATCCGGGGAATCTATCGACGACGGGAGACTGTTCCGTGGGTGCGATTCTGGGGACGACGGGAGAAGCTATCGGCGACCCTTTGTTGGATTTTGGCTATCGGCGACGCGTCCTGGGCGGGCAACCCTCCAACATTTTTTTTTAAGTAACTCCAAGATTTTGGGTGGTACAGAGTTAGGGTTTTTGGTTAGGCAGTCCGGTTCAATTGGATTTGGTTATTAAACTTTTTTATTAATATTTTAAGTGATGTGGCGTGCTGACTGGACAAAACTAACGGTTTTTTGGACGGGATGGACGAAATGACCATTTCGTTATTCTCTCAAACGTATGTTACTAAAACGTGCAAAATTAAAGGTTTGTGACCATTTTGTACAAAATGAATAGGTTTGTGACCTTTTATGCTAACTACCCGACAAACCGTAAACTGAATTGCCTATAAAGTGATGCGTAAATCTCAGTTGTTATTTCATTTAGAGTTAGTTTGTTTTGATTTTATAAAAGGGCTCCAGTACTAGTGAAGTATTTTTGGAAGGGTTTCTGAAACTCGGGTGTGTATCTTTTCCAACTATTTTTTTTTTTGTTATATTTAGGATAAAAAAAAGACCCATAATTAGTTTTAAGGCTATCATAGACCGGACCATGATCTTAAAGTAATTGGTTTAAATTTTAAAATACAAGAATGTAATTATGAAAACGCAATTTGATTTTTGTTTTCTTTCATATTTCTTGCAATGTAATCATATGATGGGGTTGTCTGAATCAATTTTCATATAATTTTATGGTGCATCATTATTCTAATAACAAAATACTATTATCATAAGCTATATCAATTACTTTATTTTTATGATTGAAGCACACGCTGTCCAATTTTATTTGTTGGAAAAAATCCAAAAGTACCACTGTTTGAAAAAAAAATTCCAAAAATACAACCCAATCCCAAAAAATTCCAAAAATACCACCCTTTTTCAAAAACCGCCACCCCACCCAGCGGTTTGGTCGAAAACCGCTTGTCGGGGGCGCGGTTTTGGACCAAACCGCGGGCCTAGGGGGCGGTTATAAAAAAAAAAATTGGACCAAAACCGCTGGGTGGGGTGGCGGTTTGGCCCAAAACCGCCACCCCAACCAGCGGTTTGGTCCAAAAGTTCGATCGAAACTTCAAACGAACGTAACTTTGCACTCGGGTATCCGATCGTAGCGATTTTTTTTTTCATTTCGCATAACTTTTCAAGATCTACAACTTTTATTAGGATGAAATTTTCAAAAAAGGAACTATTTGTGGATATACGGGACCTTGAGAATAACTTTACCTTTACTTTTCAGAAATCCATGTACATTTTGAAATTATGATTATATTAAAAGTTGTGATCTTGAAAAGTTATGCGGAATAAAAAAAAATTCATGACATTCGGATTTTGGAGCACAAAGTTATGGCCGCCCAAAGTTTGACGAAATAAAAAAAGGTCGTTCGGGGTGGCAAATGACGTTTTTTCGAGACGAAGACGGAACCCGACTGTTTGAGACTTGCAAGATCTCAAAAAGTTATTTGGATTCAAAAAATGGAGGCCGCAAACTTTTTGAGATCTTGCAAGCCGCAAACCGCCGGGTCTCGCCTTTCGTCAAACTTTGGGCGGCCATAACTTTGTGCTCCAAACTCCGAATGTTATCAAATTTTTTTTGATTCCGCATAACTTTTTAAGATCTACAACTTTTAATATAATCTTAATTTCAAAATGTACATGGATTTCTGAAAAGTAAAGGTAAAGTTATTCTCAAGGTCCCGTATATCCACAAATAGTTCCTGTTTTGAAAATTTCATCCTAGTAAAAGTTGTAGATCTTGAAAAGTTATGCGAAATGAAAAAAAATTGCTACGATCGAATACCCGAGTGAAAAGTTACGTTCGTTTGAATTTTCGACCGAACTTTTGGACCAAACCGTTGGTTGGGGTGGCGGTTTTGGGCCAAACCGCCACCCCACCCAGCGGTTTTGGTCCAAATTTTTTTTTTTATAACCGCCAAACCGCGCCCCCGACAAGCGGTTTTCGACCAAACCGCTGGGTGGGGTGGCGGTTTTTGAAAAAGGGTGGTATTTTTGGAATTTTTTGGGGTTGGGTGGTATTTTTGGAAAAAAAATTTTAAACAGTGGTACTTTTGGATTTTTTCCTTATTTGTTGGTAAATACGAACAATTTATTTATGATATTCTTGACGCTGATGAGTAATCTGGATTTATTATTATATTTTTATAGATTATCCTAGTCCTGTAAAATAACTGAGAAACTCATAAAGTGAGAAGTTGAACTTAGAGCTCTACCTCTATATTATCAAAGAATTTCCATAATACTAGTAGGTTGTGCGAACCGAATCTCAACTTTTAGTCGCACAAGTCCTACCATTAGTACTTCAGCTATTCTTCTCTCCCTATATATATCTCAAGTACGCCTCCACTATGTTATATCTATCTTCCACAACAGCTGATTAATTTGACTCCAAAAAAGAAAACTACTCCTCTCCCCTTCCAAACTTGTCGCTAGAAGAAGACAGAGAAATGATGGCCAAGATATCCCTAGTGCTTGTTCTTATCTTCTTCCTCTTCTTCCATGTTGCGCTGTTGGTTCCCCGGCTGGTCTCGGCTGCAGATCTGAAGGTGGGATTCTACAAGACCACCTGCCCGCTAGCTGAAACCATCGTCCGTCACGTTGTGGAGAAGCGGCACAGCACCGACAAATCCATCACTGCTGCTCTTCTTCACTTGCAATTCCATGACTGCTTCGTCAGAGTAGGTTCCGAGCTACTTCTCCTAATTAAGCTACCTTCTTTCCTCCATTACTACATAAATATATAGGTGTTGGTTCGGTTCGATTCGGTTCGGTTTGGGCATATGATACATTCATTATTTCCACACTCTAGTTCAGTAGTCTTCACAGCTAATCGGATTGGTTGATAACCTTTTCTATCATTCAAAGCCAGTAAGGGAGGAGATGAAGAGTTTGAGGGGGAAAACCTAGGTGGCACCTTTTGATTGGTGGAAAGTATTCGTGGGTAGAGAAAGGGAAGATAATGTTGTCATGATACATGTTGAAACTAAAGTTTTGTCGTGTTGATGTGACATGGATATTTGTGTATTAGAAAATGGAAGTTGATTAGAGACTAGAGATAAATATCAGAAGAGAGTTGAATATTTTCTTTTCGTTGTCGACATATATAATTCATACCGGAAAGACTTTTATGATAACCATAATTACAATTTCCCATACATATATATGTAGGGCTGTGATGCATCGATCTTGATAGACTCGACGGCCCAAAACCCGTCCGAGAAAGCAGCGCCTCCAAGCGCAACTGTCCGCGGCTACGACCTCATCGACGACATCAAATACGCCCTCGAATACGTCTGCCCGGCCCAGGTCTCCTGCGCCGACATCCTCGCACTCGCCACCAGGGACTCCGTCGCCCTCGCCGGCGGCCCCACCTACGACCTCCCGACGGGAAGGCTCGACGGCCTCGTCTCCCGCGCCGACCAGGTCATCCTCCCGGCGCCGACCATGTCCATCTCCCAGGCCTTCACGGGCCACTTCCACCCACTGGGCTTCACGCTCCCCGAGATGGTCACGCTCCTCGGGGCCCACACCGTTGGGGTGGCCCACTGCTTCATCTTCCAGGACCGGATCTCCAACTTCAGCGGTTCGGGGAGGCCCGACCCTGCCATGGACCCGGCCCTGGCCGCCAGCCTCCGTAAGACCTGCTCCGCCAGCGGGAGTCCGACGGCGTTTCTGGACCAGAACACGTCGTTCGCCGTCGACCGGTCGTACTTCAGGGAGTTGACCCGGAGGAAAGGGGTGCTGCGGTTCGACCAGGACCTGGCCAACGACCCGTCGACTTCATCGGTTGTGTACGGATTCGCGAGGGACGAGGCGAGTTATAGGAAGAGCTTCGCGGCCGCAATGGTGAAGATGGGGAATCTTAAATCTGGCAGCGGCGGCGGTGAAGTGAGAAAGAACTGTAGGGTGTTTAATAAGCCAAAGAGTTCTGACGTCGACGACGGTGTTTAATAAACCATTCACGATATATATGTTTGAACTATTTAAAAATTATTATTAATAATAACACAATGTCCAACTAATATAAATTTATGTGTCTCATGACAAATCGTGTTAAACTAAATTGTACGGTATACAACTGGTTTTAAATACATTTGACACTAGTAAAATTTTGGGTTAATAGTATAAATTGCTCTTTTATTATAATCTTTTCTCAAATTTGTCCATTTATTATGTATTACATCAAATTTAGAGGACTTCTACTATGCTATATAGTATTGGTGCTTTAATGTACAACTTAAAGTTGTACCATAATGCTAAATGTATAAGCTTAGGTTGTATCATAAAGCAATTTGTACCATTATGTTATGGTACAACTTTACAACTTGAAGTTGTACCATCACATAAAAGTACAAGTTCAAGTTGTACCATAAAAGAATTTGTACAAAAAGTATAGGTACAATCTGAAGTTGTATCATAACGTAAATGTACAATTTTAAGTTGTACCATAAAGGCAAAACCCTATAGCACCAGTACTATATAGCACTGTAAAATTTCTCTCAAATTTCTCTTTCTATAATAACCAAGTTACCAAACATGACCTTCAGTTTCAAATTCCATCCCAATTCATCAACCATGATTCAATCACAGTTGGACCGGTCCGACCGCAGCAAAATAGTATGAAATTTTTCAAAATTGCCCCTTGCCATTGAGACTCAAAGAATCGCAGCCCTCTCTCTCCACGGAGTCTCTAGAAGCCCCTTCTCATTCCTTGTCACCAAGTACTTCAAGTTCAAACTTCCCCTGTAGCTAGGGGTGGCAGTCGGTCGGTTTTGGTTTAGCATAAAACTGAAAACCCGGTTATCGGTTAAACTGAGCCACCCCCTATACCTGCCGACCACCGACCGTGAGAGAGGTCACGGTTAGCCGGCCAACCGACCGGTCGGTTTTGGTTTTAGGCTCGGTTAGCCGGCCAACCGAAAAAACTACCTTTTCTACAAAAAAAAAAAACTAAAAATTAATTAAAAAAAAAACAAAAATTCTCTACCACTCATCTCAATCCTTATCTCCTCCTCTCTCCTTCCTTCCTCCACCAGACCACTACAAT